CTCTTCATTTTTCAAGATCAGATTACTTGGCATAGGTGAGAACATTGAGGCTACGTCTAGACTACATCCCTTTTTCGTAAAAGGGATGTAAATTATATGTATCACAATTGCTAATGAAGCGAGGATTTAAATCTCCCCCGCTTCATTAGCATAAAAATGGCTGCCACTTTTTTTCGACACGGAGCTTTGTCAGAAAAAAGCGCCAGTCTAGACGCTGATCTTGCGGAAAATAAAGCCTTTTCCAAAAGATCCCTTATTTCATAGAGGGATAAGGGATCTTTCGGAAAAGGCTTTATTTTCCTTTAAGCATATGGTATTGTATCACTGGATTACAGTGGCAATTCCACAATTCTAGGTCCACTTAAATTGGTGGGACTCCTTGTGTCAGGGTTGCAGAGCCAGGTTCTTATTCAGGTTACTAATTTAGCTCCTCTTTATCCCTTCACAACCAATCCCACCCAATCGACCTTCTAGCTCTTAAGGAAGAATAGTAGAGGGCCAAGATTTCCCCACAATACAGTCAAATTATTTTTATTGTCGTAAAGACCTAAATCATACCTTACAGAATGTGTAATGCCCCCTGGAAGAATCTGAATGAATGATCCTTATGTAAACCATATGATGGTTGTTTCTTTGATAGTATTGTTGCTATTAAAGTGCATGATGGTCCATGAATGCCCATAGTTCCTGTTATGGGCCTTAGAGTGGCAAATACTTTGCATTTATATGGCACCTTCTTCCAAGGATTTCAGTATTAGCTAACAGCTAGAATTAATTGGAAATGTTGAGTACAGTCTTTCACTAAACACTGTTGGCTGTGTCTACACTGGGCCACTTATTCCGGAAAATCAGCCGCTTTTCCGGAATAAGCTGCGAGCTGTCTACACTGGCCCTTGAATTTCCGGAAAAGCAACGATGCTCTACTGTACAAAATCAGCTGCTATTTCAGAAAAAACTATTCTGCTCCCGCTCGGGCATAAGTCCTTATTCCAGAACACTGTTCCGGAAAAGGGCCAGTGTAGACAGCCCAGTAGTCTTTTCCGGAAAAAAGCCCCGATCGCGAAAATGGCGATCGGGGCTCTTTTCCGGAAAAGCGCGTCTACATTGGCCACAGACGCTTTTCCGGAAAAAGGGCTTTTCCGGAAAAGCAGCCTGCCAATGTAGACGCTCCTTTTCCGGAAAAACTGAAAACGGAATAGTATTCCGTTTTAAGCAGTTCCGGAAATTCATGCCAGTGTAGACACAGCCTGTGGGTTAGCAGTTACAATAGAACTTCTTATAGATACACCCCAAAAGAGGAAAGTGCTAAATAGGACACTCTGACCAATGAAAGGTGTATGTTGCCAAATACTTCCGATATAAAAGACATATAATATGTTCCTACTATATAACAAATGCCTTTGTAATGATTTTTAAGGGAGTAGCTGCAAATATTGAGAACTACTTACATTGGATTGGACAGAGCATTAGTAAAATGTTCAAGATTGAAGCCTGTAGAACTAGCCCAAGGAATGCATCAGATGCCTTGGCACCAAGGAAAGATATTGCAATCAGAGCCACATCAGATTATTTGGGGGTTTTATGTATGGCATTCATACTTGTCCCTGTTGTACAATGTTAGTAAGGCTAATGACTATGAAGATGTGGAAAGCTACCTTTTAGCTTCCTTCCTTTCTGCTGATAATTATAGCATTGGTTTCTCTTATGATGTCATTGCACACAAGGACTGATTGTGATGTAACCATTTGGTGATTTTAAAAAGGTCAGATCAATGAGTAAAAGGCTTGAGTGTTTTCCCTTTATTAGGTCTGTACAAAAGAGCACAAAGGCTTGGTCTAGGAATGTATTTTGTGTCCAGTATTCTGTCCCCATGCTAGCACCTGTGGTTTGTGGGTTATCAAAATACCTCTGTCTCCTTTGGGGTCCATTCAATGGGTCTAATATCAATCTGTCACTTTTCAGCTCTGGATAATGGCAATCAGATCAGATGAGGCAACCAGGGAAGTGATTCACTTGACACAAGATGCTCCTGTGGTTTTTACTCGGTGGCCCTTGACATACAATCAAAATTCCACTCTCCACTTCCCCAATGCACATGGTATTGGGGACCAGATATGCGGGCTATCCCAAATAGTACACTTGCTCAAAAAAGGTTTGGTATAGGATAAGTGTTTGAAACTACTCTTTCAGTAGGGTTTGTGCACATTATGTGAGTGTAACACTGTTCCTAGTTCTGCAAAACTAGGGCCCTGTGCATATTCTTTTAATGGAAGAAATTAGAGACGAATGCAAGTGGTGATCATGCTTACTTACCTGATACTTAATGAGTTTTTTGTTTTTTGTTTCCCTTCAGCCAAATATCCAACCATTAAATCTTTAATGGGACCAGATCCCCACTTAAAATGGATTGTGTCTGGAATGGTGTTGACACAGCTTCTAGCTTGCTACTTGGTGAAAGATTTATCTTGGAAATGGATTTTCTTTTGGGCTTATGCTTTTGGGGGCTGCATTAATCACTCAATGGCGCTAGCGATCCATGATATTTCACACAATGTTGCCTTTGGTAACAAGCAGACTAAGTGGAATAGATGGTTTGCAGTGTTTGCCAACCTGCCAATTGGGCTTCCTTACTCTGCCTCCTTCAAGAAATACCACATTGACCATCACCGGTACCTTGGTGGAGATACTTTGGATGTGGATATTCCAACCGACTTTGAAGGCTGGTTCTTTTGCACGCCCTTCCGGAAACTTATTTGGGTCATCCTCCAACCATTCTTCTATGGCCTGAGACCTCTTTATGTGAATCCCAAAACTGTTACTCAGATGGAAATATTTAATGCCCTGATACAGTTCTCTATTGATTTTATAATCTACTACCTATGGGGCCTGAAGCCTGTTATTTACTTAATAGCAGGTTCCTTACTTTGCATGGGTTTGCATCCTATTGCTGGGCACTTCATAGCAGAACATTACACGTTCTTAAAAGGCTACGAAACCTATTCTTATTATGGACCTCTCAACTGGATCACCTTTAATGCAGGCTACCATATGGAGCACCATGACTTCCCAAGCATTCCTGGGTGCAAGCTGCCAATGGTAAGTATAGATGTTATAACTGAAGTGGATCACTGTGATACTTTCTAGAGCAGTTTAATTTGGCATGGCATGTATTCTAGCAATAGCCACTTTTAAGTAAGGCTAAAGCATATCTTTCAACCCACCAAAAGGCTCTTGTGCAAGAAAATAGAAGTCAGAGCCAAAACTGGGGAAGGGTGCAAGAGGGCTTAACAATATTATATTAACTTTTTTTGCATGAAAAACATTACCCATAGCTTCAGCTTAAGTTTTGCCTCTTCAGCTTATTGTGGTACATAGTATATATGCAGTGGTGGAAATAAGATGAGTAGGTTTTATGGGATGGAGGTATATCTAGGTCTAAAATAGTGCCCTTCATATATGGGCCCTGAGCCTTCGGGGCCTCATCCGGCCTTCGGTTCCTCATCCCTGCTTCAGTTCTTGCTTTTCCAGACTGAAGAGTCCCAGTCTTTTTAATCTCTCCTCATATGGATGCTGATCCTTACCCCAAACAATTTCTGTTGCCCTTATCTTTACCTTCTCAAAACCCACTGTATCTTTTTTAGATGGGGCAATCACATCTGCCACTCAGCATCAAGATGTGGCCATAACAAGACTTTATATAGAGGCAACAATATTTTCTGTCTTATCTATTTATTTCCTAATGATTCCCAATATTCTGTTACCTGTTGTAGATGTTTAGGGAACTATCAAACAATGATTCCAATATTTCTTGAGTGGTAATAGCTAAGTTAGACCCCATCACTTTGTATGTATAAACTTAAACAAGTAGTCTAGTAGCACCTTAAAGACTAACAAAACATGTAGATGGTGGTATGAGCTTTCTTGGGTGCGACCCACTTTGTGTACTCTGTGTTACTCAATCTTGGGGGGGTTTTGTGGTTTTTTTTTTTTAAAAGATCTTTGTCACTCTTTGCAGTCAGCTTTTGAGTAATTTTGTATCATCTGCAAACTTTGCCATTTCATTATTTACCTCTTTTTCAAGATCATTTGTGATTACGCTATGTCTACACTGCCGGGGAATTTCAGAAAAAGATACGCAAATTGCGAAAAAGAGACACAAAGAGGTTTCTCCAACATTTGGCCCATCTAAAATGAGGAATACAGGGATGCTGAAAGAATGTGTCCACTTTTTTGGAAACTGTCCCAAAAAAGAAGACGTGTTCCCTGGACGTGGTAGAGTTTTTCCTGGATACCAGTCTAGACATAGCCTTTGTTGAAGAACACCAGTCTCAATAGAGACTCTTTGCTTCCTATCTTTCAAGTGAAGTACGGGGCAATGTTTGCATGATCATGTAACAATCTTTCCATTATAAGGACAAGCCTTTTGTTATCTTAATCCTCTGCCTCCCTCTGTTTATAAACAAACACCCTGATGCAAAGGCAAAGCTGGGAGCCGCACAAGCTCTGTTGTAGTTATGAGCTGGGTCTGGGGCTAGTGATGCGCTTTAAGCCGATCTCAAGTATGAAATTCAGGGGTTTAAACTTGGAGGGGGGGGAGACTATAGTCTCCTAGTGCCCCCTAAATGGTGCCCCTGGGTGAGACGAAAGGGATGGATGACAGAACTAGTTGAGACTCATGGACTTACGTGAAAGCATGTCTCATTGGTAAGTCAGAGTATACAGTCTATGTTATGATGAAATAAAACTTTAAGAGTTTGTTATAATGTTGGAGCTGGTGGTCTTTGGGTGGATATTTTTACAAAACTCATTTTTTCCAAGGGTGTGTGTTTAGTGTAAAAAAAACCTTTGACTTAAATTCAGTTTTGACCTGTCAGATTATTCTTTACTCTTCAGTTAACAAAAGCCTCCAAAACATAGAAGACCAATTAGAAGAAAACAAAATTAATGTTCACAGGGAAAATATTTGTTCAAGCAGCCCAATTTCACAAAATTCACAACAGTAGCAAATGTATCTTTGCTTCTAATCTCTATTTTAGCAGTAAGATCTGACCACCTAGTGCATCCCAACTCAAAAGCAATGATGATAGACTAGTGAGCTTACAGCTAACACTCAAGGGGATAGCTCCTGGCCCTTAATCATATGGAACTTTTGTGGGCAGGACAAAACCAGTGGAAGAAGCTGTTGGAACAGGCCAAATGTGTAGGTGCTAAGATATCTATGGCATATATGCAAAGTGGTTAATAAGCACCTAACCAGGGCTTTAGACACTAATAGATCAAAGATTAACATGCTGCACCTGCTCCAGGCAGCTGGTCTAAGAATGATGTGATATAGCACAGGGTACAAGTATGGCAACAGTTGGAGGGACCATGGTGTACGTCAGGGGTGGGGAACCTTTTTTGTAGGCCACTGACCCACAGGAAAAAAAAATCAGTTGCGGGAGGAGCAGGGAGGCTGCACACAAGTGAGAAGCAAAAAAGAAAAACTAAACCCTTGCTGATGTGGCCCCTGACTGAGACAGACACACCCCACATTCTCTTTGTATACCAGAGCCTAGGGAGGCCCAGGGTAGTAGATTGTGTGCTCCAGCTCCATGGTGGGGGAGCTGGTGTGCCAGGGTGGGCTCCCCATTGCTTGGGAGAAGCTCTGAGCCTTAGGGGCTGGACCCAGGCAAGCTGAGGGCTGCATCTGGCCCCGGGCCTTAGGTTCCCCACTCCTGGTATACACATTCTGCACTGGTTCACACGGAGCAGGCTGGCTACAATGGAATGAGTGGTCCTTTTGGAGCACTCCGCTGCATGGGTTTGAAAAATTGATTTGCTGAATAAATTATTTGCCTGTAGGAACATCTCTTGAAATAACTTATTTCATAAGCTCTACTTAGCTGCAGCGATCACCTTGGAATTGTTGAGTTCTCTAGGCCCTTTAGGTGTAGAATCCCTGGCTTCATCAACATGTACAAAACAGGAACAGTTGGTGTGAATATGATCAGGTTTCACAATGCAGAAACAAGGGACTAAGTGGACCTTGTACTGCACTTTGATTTGTTTATCAGAAATTGATAGTTAGCTTCATCTGCTACCACAGATGGCTCATTCAGAATGTCCCAAGTAACATGTTTACTGTTGGAAAAATCTGCATCGCTGTGACCCTAGAAAGATCTCTGAATAGAAACAGGAAATATTAGGCTATGCTGTAACCTAGAAGCTGTTAAAATGGGAGCCTCATAGGATGTTAACCGAACTCTCTTCTTTAACGAGATGTGGGATGACTGCTTTTCTAGTATACAGTGAAAGTAAGTTCCTGTCCTTTAAGTATCAGTTTAACTGCTAAAGCAGGGGTGGGCAAAAGGGACTCCAATCCGGCCTGTGGAGGCCCTGCTGCTCCCCCACCCCCAGGCCAGTTAGAATCTGGGGTTTAGGGAGGGCAGAGAGGGTGCAGACCTTCTCCATACAGGAACATTGCTGTCTGTTCTAGGGATATTAAATATAGGTTAATTGAATAGTCGAGTAACTTCACGAATTCTTATCAGTTACTCCACTATTCCATAGTTCCCAGGGGTAGGGCCAGAAGCCAGTATGCTCCAGCCCCACTCCCGAGAAGCCTCCTGCCACTCTGCATTGTTGCCTCTGTATCAGAGGCAGAAGCACAGGGTGGGAGCTGGTTTGCAAGGGGGAGCCAGTTTAAAACCCAGTTCCCCTTGTGCTGCCACCCTGTGCTGCTGCCTCTGATAAAGAGGCAGAGGTGCAGGGTTATAGCAACCCCTGTCTAGGGGGTGGTTTGAGTTCCCAGACCTGGGGAGAGCCATAACGGAGTTGCAGGGCTGGCTTTAGGAAGCGCGAGGCCCAATTCAAACCGTTTTGGCGGTCCCCACACCCCGGATTTTTTGTTGAGTGCAAAAAAAAAAAAAAAACCACCAAACCACAACCACACAAATATCACATCAAGTAGATCTGATCAAAATCATATCTATATAATTGAACATTTTAAAAAAAAATGCCATCTTTTATTATGCAAAATTTTACACAAAATTAAATCAGTTGCCTTAAGTGCAGGTCAAATATTTTCAACTGCAAGCTATCCAATCTTTTCAATAAAGTTTAAAGTTTGATTTTTAAAAAGTTACCAGAGAGTGTTGCAGTTTTGTTACATTGATTTACTTTTTCAATAGCAAAAATGGAGTTTAAGAAAGTGTCAGTTCTGTGGTCAAATTCCAGTCCTTTGTGATTTCAGCACCAATGATTTCACTAGGTAATATGGTACCTCCCCACCATTGCCTCCTTTGCACTGCCTTTCAACACATTGCATGTTGAGCCCAAGGTCAGTCTACACAAGATTTTAATCAATGATTTTTGCTCAAGCGATCACTGAGACAAGACAAGGACTCTCAATTGATTCTAGTCAGCTCTGCCTTTAAACACTTTTAAGTGTCAGATATAACTGAGGACTCCCAAATAGACTCTACACCACCAGAAATAAAACCTGTTTCCATCTTCTGTGACTTTCAGTTAGATGTGACTCACTATCCTCTGCTTAGTGTTCAAGCTATGATAGACCCTAAGTCAGGTCATATTAAGTTCAGGTCTTTTAATCATACAGTATGGATAACAACATTTCATTCTCCCAGTTCCAAGTCTTAAGTGAATTTCAAACCAAAAGAGCCAAAATTGATCACCTTGACACAGCAAGTGTTTCTACAGATCTCTGTGGCAAAGTAGGTATGTCTATATAAATAAGGTCTGCTCCTGAAGCCTTTTCTTACAGTTGATTAACAGATGGCAGTAGATAGCTCGTTCAGACCACTGGCTGATAATAGTTAGTCACCCTGACCAGTCATTAACCATAGTCATAGACTCACCCTACTCTCCATTGTCTTTATGATTCTCTGATGACCTGTGACAAAAAAGGAAAGGGAAACTGAAGGGAGAGACCTCTCTAAATTCTCCAAAGAGCAGTATTGCCAACCCAAAAATCACAAGGAACACCTACACAAAGTTATGAGAATGGTCTACAAATCATAAGTTTTTAAAAAAAAATAAAACATGTTGGATTTTTATTGCCCTTTTTTTTCTTCTTCAGTATTTAGGGTTCATGT